TAGTTTTCTCCCCTGCTTTTATCTCTCTTGTATTTTGTTCTCATTCCAAACAAAGTTTCTAAATTAACAGAATGACTTGGGATATGGAGCTAGCATAGATTAGCAAAGACGTACGGTTTCAAACAAAAAATTGTAAAACTTTTCCAAAAAATCACAACAACCGGAGGCTTCAGTGAGTGTGTGTGTGTGTGTGACATTCTATGATTGAACTAGAATATAGTTTTGGCATCTCATACATGATTGAGTATCTTTTCTTTTGTAAAATATAATCTTTACTACTGTTTGTTCTACAGTAAAAACAACAGTAACATTTAAAAAAAAACATCAATAACAATGAAAAAACCAATATGTCTGGAGTTTTTTTTGTAATATACTATATATCGCCCTTCCTTTAAAATTTTCAATAGGATTTGAGCATTATTTAAACAATTACTTACCCAGAGTCTTAAACATATTTACTTCATCTAAAAAATCAATTTCTATTTTAAATATTTTCTTTTGAAGTAGATATGACTTGGAAAAATAACCAAATTAATGCCCAACATAACTTTAACTACAGCATTGGGAATGATTCTCTGTTAATTCATTCAATTATATTACATACTCCCTCCCTTCCTAATTATAGGAACCTTTGGAAAACTTTCTAGAGTTTTAAAAAATGTAAAAGCAACAGATCTAATTATCAATAATTGACATCATCTGTCTAAATATCCTTAATGTAGTTGAACCCCTTACATTTTTTTTCCTAATTAATTAATGTGGGAACACCTTCATTAATAGGGGCATTCTTGTGAAAAACTAATAAATGCTATCACAATAGACAATTAGCTAAGGAAATGGTTCTTATAAAAAGAAACAACTCAAAATTTTCAGAAAGACTCTTATAATTATACACGGATAGACTATATTAATGTAAAATTAGAAAGTTAAAACGGCACATAACATGCACTTAGCAGCTGGATTTCAAAAGTTTCAATTAAGCAATAATACAATGAAGCACATGTTTTTTTTTTTTTCCTTCTTTTTTAATAATTTAACTAACTTGGCTCCAGAGGCCTATTCATAAAGTGAAATAGATACGGTCCATTTAGAAAGAGATAAAGGTATAAAAGTAAATTAGTGTAATCATGAAATATGGACATCAAACACACACACACTCTTTCGCACCACTTTCTCTCCAAATGAATCAATGCCTGATTAGAGAGGATAGAAAGCCATAATTTTTCATTTCAGATCTTTTGGTTATAGCTCTACCAGAGCTGTACTATATAATTTTTCAGCTGAGATATCCCTAATGCCTATATCTGTATAGGAATATATCATTAAAGATTTGTGATTAAAGTTTTGCAAGCAATCAAACTTGAAATATCAATTAAGGTATATGTTTCGTTTGGTTATTAAAAAGGAATGGATTAAAAAAATAAAATAAAAATAAAAATAAGATAATTAAAAAGGATAAGTAAGCATATTCATAAGGAGGAGGGATAATTTAGTTCATAAGATTAAGAATTATGATTCATAAAATTTTTTGAGAGTGTGATGATATAGTATATATTAATAAGTTTTATAATATTTATTATAAGGAAAATGATGATTTAAATCAGTTTTATCTTGGTTTTTTTAATTCATTTCATTCCATTTTTTTTTAGTAATCAAATGGAACCATAGGGATCAGACTCTCTCTTTTGAGGGAGATCTATGCAACATGATTACGCCTAGTTCAGTACTTCTTGCCCTCTTGTCCGTAAAAAAGGCTTTAATTTTAAGGACGGTTTTTTCCAATACAAGGTGAAAGCCAAACAATTTATCGTAAGTGTTTAATCAGTAGAACATACAATTCTGACTCCCAAAACAAAGACAAAATATCTACACAAGAAAAGCAAAACCGACATTTCTAGTTATTTTCATTGACAGAATGGTTGATCATTCCTTATTCCTACGGTTCAGATCATTTTGGAACAATGAAAAGTCACCAAACCATTATAGGCATTTTTCTTCGTCTTACTGATGGTGTTACTTGTGGCTTTCAATCGTTGTCCATACATATATACATTCATACACACACACACACACATATATACCCTCTCTTGCTCCACCAGGCCAGCTCAGCAGCTATAACTTGTAACATGAATTTAAATCCTTTGAAGTTTGAGGTTTGAAGGCTTATGAAGTTGTCTGAGTTAATAGAGAGATTGAGAGAGGAAATTAATTAATTACTGAGCACACAAGAAAAGAGAAAAGTGGACTTCGTACACCTTCGCTTTGTTTCACTCTCTTTCACTCCATAAATATATATATATATATATATATATAATTACAGTTAGGGCATTGGGGTGAAATACATAAACACAGTGCACACCGCAGCAAGGAAACAGATTTTCTCCTTTTAGTCTTAAATACATTATGAGAATGATTAACCTATATATATACATTTATGTATATAATTGGATTGGATATTCTAATTATTTTGATTATTGAAGAACAAGCCTTAATTTAATTCGTTATATCTTTAATCTCGTTACTGCATATTTGCAACACTGTTTTCTTTATTTATTTTTTATAATGCACTTTCGTTTGGTTTCTGCTTCTATATTGCATCACAAAATTGACAGAATTTTACACGCTTATTTTAAAGGTATATGGGGCTAAACTTAAGTCGACTTCGTTGAAAAATAAAGATGAAAGTTATATTCTCAAACTAGAAAAAACTCAAAGGTGCAATTGAATGAGAGATTTTACGTTGTTTCTATTATTAAAAAAAATAAAGTATTTACAATAAGAAGAAAGCCATCAAATATAATGCATTTTTAATAAATTATGTTCCACCACAGTTCATACATTTGTCGGGTAGAAAATATAAATTTTGTTGGGTGTGGCCTTGTTTTATCAAAAAAAAAAAAAACAGAGAGACAAATAATGAAAACAGTTAATTGACTCCCAAGAAATTTCAAGCTATTTTGTTAATATTATAATATAATGGGCACATAAGCTTAGTTAGTCAGCAAAGCATAAATTTGAATTAGATTTTCAAAAGTTACGCCAAATTTCCGAAAGAAAATAACACAAATCTGTGGGAATGCATATGAGGTTCGTTCCTTTCTTTCCTTTAGCTCTCTCTTTTCTTTCTTATTTTTTTATTTCTGAAATTCATTAAAGATCTATGAAAAGAAAATTCAAAAGATCCTAACTCTATATATTTTCCAATATCCAAACTGTAGATAAGTATATCTTTGACCCATGCACTGTTAAACACACACACACACACACACACGAATCTGAAGTCAGTTAATTTTTTGAGGAGGGCGCGCAGGGCTACTGATCGTTAATTAGTGATCTCTACTAATCACTAAAGCAAAAGGAGAATAGACTGTTCAGTTAATTAATCAATTAATTGTTAAAAAAAATGAAAACGGATAAAGAACAAGTGACTTCTCAAACAAATATTGACCTTATATGATGATCGTTGATTAAAAAAAAATTGAAGTCATTATATGTTATACCCCCTCCATTCAAAAATTTAAGATATTTTTTAAGGAATTAGATGTTATAAAAATATAAGGTATTTTTAATCTTTTGAGGTATAATTATTATTTTTTTTTAAAGTGACCCTATTGATAATGACTTTATATTTATTGTAGGGTATTTAATAGGGGTGAATATGAAAAAATAAGGTTAGTTTGAAGGTAGATAATTATTTTATTAGGATTGAGATTGATTAAAAATACTTTATATTTTTGAACAAAGACTATACAATCGGTGCTTGTGGTCTTCTCATGGAACAGTAGTTTTCACGCTCGGGTTTAAGCTCTAGAGTACGTAACTACGCAAACTAAAGTTTAGACTAATCCTTGATATTCTGAAAGCAAACAAAGTATGCAGAATCCGTTTAAAACCGAAATGCAGCATCAGATGCAGTCACTTCAAATATATATATATATATATATATCATTAGAAATATAAAATATTTATGTTCAGCCCCTAAAAAATATTCAAAAAAGATTAGAGTGAAACTCCTCAAGTGTGTAATATATAAAAAAGTCAAAACAACGTTCATAGAAATTATTACAACACATGGGATAGCATAAGCACAAAAGGTTTTTAAGAAAATTACAATGATAATCTTTTCACGTTAGCGAATAGATATTCATGTTCTTCTGGTCATTGCAGAAAAGGTCTCAAGCATTAGGAGCTAGCGTAGCTCCCTGCAACACATTTGACTGATCTAATATGCATATATATATATATATATATATATGAATTTCTCATTCCTCCACGGTGTATATGTAAGTTATGAATTAAAAGGCTAATTAATTAATTAAGCAGCTAGCATTTGCCTCCTGATCTCTGTTCTATGCTATGTAAAATACAACAAAGTTGAGATGAAAAACAGAAGTCAAAATGGGATATCTCTATATAGTTTAGATGTGAACAAGCTAAGAGGGTGTGAAGTGTGGACGCATTTGTTTTACTTTATTTAGTTACGTGTGATAGCTATATAGGAATAGCTAGAAAATAATCCCCACGGAAATGTATGACCAGACAGACATGTTTATGCGCACTCAGACATCTGAAACGAGAAAATGACACTCCACTGCAAACCTTATCATCAGTCTCTAACTCACCCCAAAAAACAGAGATAACAAAAACAAAAACGAACCCTAATTAACCTCCTTTCATCGTTATTCTTCTTTTAATGATGATAATTACCTTTGCTTTAAAATTTACATGGTGTGTGTGTCTTCTTCCTTCCTTTCCCTCTCCCCAAAACTTGCTTTCCCTCTTCCTCTCTGCACCTTTTTTGGTCACAAGAACTCACAAAAGCAGCAATCAGACACAAGCAAAATCCAATCAACCAAAGAAGAGAGAAATCGCACCAAAGATTACCCTCACAGGTTTATCACAGCTTACACATCAACAATCACTCTTTTCCACACAGCTGCAAAATAGCAGCAATCTTAATTAATAATGAGCAGACTAGTTCATATCATTCTCTCTTTTTCTCACGCACACCGTTTTTGATTTCTGCTAGGTGTTGGTGGTGTGTGCCCCAGCCGGAGCTCGAGATCAAGCTCCTCGTGCCTGTTGCCGGCAAAGGACGAGGTCGCGGTTTGTTCCACTTTGGTGGAATCACAGAAAGAAGAATTGGTGAATACTGCAGGCCGCCGCTCCACTTGAAAATCGTAGGAGGCGGAGCTAGTATTAGTTGACACCAAGTTGCTTGGTGGATAGGGCATAATGGAGAGAAGCGTGGTTGGAGATAATGATTCTCTACATGCATTCAAAGAAGAAGCAAGAGTATTAGCAGTATTACTAGTATTAGTACCAGACAAGTTTCCAATCCCGTCAGGGCTCGGCAAATGATAGAGGAAGAATCTGCCTTGATGATGATGATGAGCTGAGATGAGGTTGCTCTGAACTGAAGCAGCAGCAGATGCAGGTGGAGGTCGTTGTTGCTGGTGGTGGTGAAGTCGGGCACGGTCACGGCGGTGGACGTTCATGTGGCCGCCGAGAGCTTGGGCTGAACGGAACTCCCTTCTACAGAAAGTGCAGGTGTAGGACCTGGGAGGCCAAGTGGTGCCCATGATGCTTGTGGTGTCCTGCGCAAAGGCTCTGACCTCCCACGAGTCATCTTCTTCCTGGGGATGCCTAGGGTTCCACATGATCCAGGTGGTGGGAAGAAGAAGAAGACGAGCTAGGGTTTGGGGGAGGAGCTGGATGAGGTTGAAGAAGCAGATTGGGGTGGTGGTGGTGGAGGTGTTGGGATTGTGACAATTTTTGGATCTGGGTCATGGAGAGAAGGCCAATCTCTGCACCCATGGTACTGTTACTGACATTTAAGATAGATGAGTGATAACGGAGGAGAGCTGTTAATGTGGAAGCTAAATTGGGAGAAAATATTGATTAAATAGGGATGGGCTAAGAGGTACGTCAAGACAAATTCAAGCCCTAACACCGAGTGTATCACCCATCTTAGAATCTACTTCTTGGATCTTTGCCAAATTTTCAAACATTATAATATCTCAGCCCACCTCATCAAGAACAACAGCTTCTTTCTTTGCCTTCCTCGCCTTCATATTCTATTTTTCTCTCATTTATTGCCAATAATTTCTACATCTGCAAACGTCACTGGTCATCAAATTCAATTCTTGAGGGTTGACAAAGGAAAAGTTCTTTGTTCTTACTACACATCAAGAGTACTTCAAAGCTTGAAACCTCCAAAAGGAAAGTGAAACTCCAATTGTGCCTCTCATGACGAAGTTAATTAGAAAGATTTTGGACAAGGTGATAATAAATATAGAATTGTAGATGGTCAAACCTCCTGAGATCAAAATGATCTTTCACATAAAGGTGAGAGCTAGCTAATGTGTTAGGCTGTTCTCGTTAGCTAGTACAGTTGCATTGGTTTAAAACAGCAAGCTCTCGGGGGGACCATATTGTAATAAAATTTTGATCAGTAATCACGTTCGAGTATTTAATAGGGCTTAGAAGATGAACAAAGTGGATAGATAAACACAGTGCTAGTAAGTAGTCATGACATCTCTTCTCTTTGGGTTGCCTTGTTTTGCTCAATAAGATGATTTAGCATTGGGTCAAGCCAAGTCCAGTGCTGTATCGATCTTTCGGTTAAAGCAATCTTGGTTTACTAGCTAGCTAGGGGGCCATAGGGCTTGAATGCCTGTGCCCCAACATAGAAATACAGAGAAGAAATTAATTGATTTGAGAAAATCCAACTTGAATATGCCATTTCATTTGTCTGTCACACTGTCGCTTTCTATTATATTGTGATATATATAATGCTCTATATTTGCACCGTTTATTTAATTAACAAATCAGGCAAGAGTTTTGAATGTCGTTTTCGTTTCCTTATGGGCAGTGATGATTAGGAGTCCAGTTATATATTGCTGATCTCTACTATGTCCCTATAGATGTTTGACAGGTAACGAAAAGCTAAGGCACGAGACAGCTTCTTAAATAGTATAGACTTACAAATAAACATTTGAAACATTTACGATCACAATGCTACATTCTTTATTTAATGCTCTCTTTCGTATGTTTCTTCTTGTCGTCTTGTCCCTCTCTCTCAGAAAATATGTGAATGAGTATATTCATAAATTCTTTAAGGAAGGCACAAGTCATAGGAGTATTAGTTTATCAGAAATTAAACGCCGTTTGACCATGACTTCGAAACATATATTAATATATCTATACATCTGACTAATGAAGAAACAATGCCCAGAAAATCGACATTGCTTTCTTCGCCTACGAACAACAAAGCCAGAAAATAAAAGAAGCTATTCTTACGTTCTTGTGTGTGCCATTGTTGACGTCGCCCACAGGGTTCTTGCTTCCAGGCACCACGACATCGAAACACTTGCAAATATTTAATTAATATTACTTCACTCTGCATCTCCATTAAATAATTAATTTTACATGCTGAGATACATTTCGTTCAATTAATCAAGGGAGTTGGATATGTTTATTTTGACATTTTAAGCTCAAGTCTTGAAATATATTGTCGCATTTAAATAAAAATATTAAAGACATTTTCAAAATACTTGTAGAAGTACTAGTAATAAATGGTAATAATCGTCACATGTATAAGGATTCGGATTAATTTTAACATGATTCAAGTATAACCGTGTACAATTATATTATTCGCTCCTTTAGTCCTCATATGAGGACGGCTTAAACAATTTATATAGATTTAAAAATTTAATTAAACTGAGTTAGTAACACTTTTGAATTTTTAAAATTGTCTTCACTAAAGTCCATTAAAGTTGAGAAGTTGCTACAATTTTTTCCATTACCTTTTGCTACAAGGCATCTTTTAGGAGGATTTTGGGGTTTCATTTTATAAGTTATTTGCAGAATATTAGAAGTAATTAATGTGTTTATTCGAAAATGTATCTGACAAATAATGAGGGAAAGAAAAACTACTTGATCAATGTGACATGGTTAAAGATGATTATAATAAAGAGTCTTATAATAAAAATAAAATTAAACCGAGTTTTTTTTAATTATTATCTTTAAGTCTGGCGAGTAACGAGGTTTGAGAATGACATTACCATATCTATGGTTAAAACTTAATCATATCTTTTTCCCAAGTATATTCCTTTTTTTTTTTAGAGCAGTTCCATATTTATATATAGATACCCTTGTCTCGCTTGATTTATAATATGATAAGACTTATCATAAATGATAATATTTTTTTTTAACTAATCCTTCATGATCCTTGTAATCAAAAGCGCCATGCATAAACAGGCAACAAAAAAGAGATAATATAATGGGCTCATGCTTAGTTGCTAATTAATCAACAATTGCCCCACAGTTATCGGGGCCAAGTCTGCAAATTTTTATATATTCACTGGCGACAGATTAACTCATATCTTATTCCTATTAGCATTTTGCTTTGGAGAATTTTATGTGTTAAATTAAAAAAATAGTTACTTTTGCATAAATATACTCCCTCTGTTCCAAAATACAAGCAATTTTTGTGAAAAATGCATATATCAATAAAGTCATTATTCCCGTAAAAATATATATTTTTTCTCTTTTTACCTTAGGTACCAATTACTAATGTACTCTATAATAAATACATTTACACAAATATCCAAGTTAATAAATATAAGAGGTAAAATAGAAAAAAATTTATATGTATTATGTTACTTATATTTTGAATCAAAAATAGTTGAAAAAATATTTATATTTCAAACCAGAAGGAGTATTAAGGATCCAAGTAATTCAAGGTCCCAAACTACCAATTCAATTTAACATTAATGGTAAGGATTCTTATCACTTAAATAAGTTCTCCCTCCATCCTAATTTTTTAGATACTTTTGGGGGAGATTTGGTTTCCCAAAAGATAAGACATTTTAACAAAAATAATGTTTCATTAATAATCTTACATATATTTTCTTTCTTTAATATTATTTCACAATATTTGAAAGTTTATATTTTTATTTTAAAAAAGTAATATTATAAGTTGTATTTAATAAATTTTATTAGTATGTGATTTTATTTAAAAATATCTTATAAATGATATTATTTGTCCGCAATACTCGAAAGAGATTGGACTATGCTGTCAGCAAAGTTCTCAAGCTGTCTATATGGCTATTATATCCTTCTAATTAATGAATGCTTTGTGATTAACTATATAACAGTTATCTTTTAGTGTCAGACAAAATTTAATTTAAGGATAATCCTGGCCAGAATAATCATAAACAAAAATACCTCTATATAATTTCACCCCTTGTTTTTTTGTTGTTGTCAAACCCTTCGTTAAAATTATTTTATAATTACGCATGAAATATAATCTTTGGTAATATACATATTTTCTTTCCACTATAAATAACAGAAAAATTCCGAAAATATAACTTTACTATTAAAAAATAATAATCTCAAAGTCATATATGTAGTTTGTCCGAAGGCTAAGTCAAATTTTTTCATTTAACTTATGTGAGTCCCATATATTATATGAAATTTAAAAATGAGCGGTAGGGTTTACAAATTACAAATTAAAATTTTTGAATAATAAATAATAAATTAATTAATAACATGATTTATAGAAGTTTTTATATTACATGTCAATAATTGATGGCTAACGGCTTGTTATGCACAAAATTTATTAAAAAAAAAAAAGATTAAACAATTAACGCGGAAAGTGGCTCATGCCACAAGCCACAAACTAAAATTATTAAAACGGAGACAAATGCAAAGTTTGGCATAATCTTGTTATCACTGAATTAATAATATTTTATTTTCCCTGAAGATAAAAAATTTTATTTTCCCTGATGTGGAATTCCCCCAAAAAAAAACGGAATTGTTAGGACAAAGGATATTTTGCCACGTGTGCTGCCTTTTGTGGAGGATAAGGTAGTCAATTTTTTTTTTTTTGGGTAAAAAGGTCAGTAACAATCTTTTCATTAGAAGCTAAGAAGAGATCGTGAATGCAGAAATATTGTTTTTCAAGATATAAATGAAGAGAAATGCAGCATCATCTTGTTCATGGTCATATATAGTTCCATGGATCATTTACGAGGAATAACTTAACTTTAATACCACTTATTTATAACAAAAAAACATCATACACAGAATGCATCCTTCTGGCTCCAAATCAGTTTGAGAAATGTATATAAGTATGTTCTATTTCCATATCATTACTTAATCTAATACTTCAAAACATTGCATTTATATATTATTATTATTATTATTATTTTGCTTGTATAACTTTTTCAGCGCAACATTATTTAAGGTACGTAGAACTTCCTTATTTCTTTTCGCATCAACTTATTTTGATGATAAAAAAAAAAAACTTATACCTGACTTTCCTATCATTTGTAGTATAGTTAATTTAATACAAATAACTAAATTAAAAAAGATCTTTTGCATATAAGAGATGTTTATCAAATCTATAAATAAATAAAATAAATAAATGGAGATTATCAATATCACCAAAAAAATAATGACACTTAGAAAGCGAGGGGTGCTTCTTCTGCTTCCCTTAATCCCTTGGTTCATTTTCTGACAAAACAAAGAAAATAGAAATGGGCCTACAAACGGCTTAACAATGAAAACATTGGGCTTTGCTCTATTGTTATAACATTGTAATCTAAAAGTTTGCTGTGTTGGGCCTTCAACCAAAATGAACCCACCAGTTTTTTGGGCCTGATTATATGCAATGCCTTCCCTTTTTGTTATAACGTTTCTATCATCTTAACTAGTATTTAGATGGGTGGATTTTGATTTTTGATTTAAAATCTTATATTTTTAATCTCACATTTAAAAATTATTTATTTAATTATTTTTTATTTGGATAA